CAATCGGAATTGGAAAGATGTAGGGCAGTAGGGGCATAATAGAGCTGCATGCCCTACCTCAATTTCGTAACTATGATAAATATATTTTCATTTTGTATATGAGAAAGTTGTGTTTCATATTTTAGTAATATTTTTATGGTGAGAAATCTCTTTCCTTTCAAGAGTACCTTCTAGCACAATTCTACTACAAACCCATCTAGTGGTGGTCATGTAACCACTTGATGTCTCGACATATCAATGCTTTTATCTAAAGAACAATGGCATCAATAAATTTGGATGGTCCATAATGCTTCTCCATGAATTCTTCAAACGATTCTTTAATATCAACCGTCCAAAACACGCCTAAAAGCTAATATGTAAAGTTAATGAAAGGGAAAAGGTGGATGGTGGAAGAATCACATCAAAATCAAAGTGTTATTGAGTAAACAACACAATGAAAAAAATCAAACATATGAGCAATTTAAACCTAACAATTTGAGACACACCGGCACACATACCACTTATGTTCAATCAACGAGAAATTCCGTGAATGAATTTGATTTGAATAGAGAAGAAAAATTATTTGCCAAAAGTCAGAAAAAATCATTGACTTTTCAAAAGTTTTCTACAATTTTGTATTTTTCTCCTTTGAGATGGACATCAAGCAGAAAGTAATTAATATTATGGTTTCAAACTTGCAGGAAAAATCAACAAGATATATATATCGTGATAAAGAACGAAATGTATTGTTAGGTGAAGATAAGAATTAGACAAAAAAAGTTAGGAATATAAATGTTATAGTGAGAAAATATTGAGGACCTTAAATCCAATCGATAGAAACACATCTGTATCTACTCAATCTCTAATCGATATGAGACTTTGTTCGCATTTTTCAACGGCGGACATTTATAGGACGATATAACTTTTTTTTTTTTTTTTATATCGACTTCTTATTATCAATTACATTTTTACTAGTAATATCAACTCAAGACAACCAAAATATCTTATTATTTTCATGTGATAAAAAAGTTTTTGACTTTATTATAATCGAGTAAAATTAGTTGATAAGATGTTGATTGATTGGTATTACATTGAATCAAGCTAAAAAGACACAGAAGAATTAATTGTATCTATGCCAAATGAATCCATAGAAAAAAAAAATGCTGTAACTTGCTATTCAACGGACGCAAAGTTTGAAACAAACAAATTTATAATTACAATTTACAAATTTGAAACTTTTTCTTCTATAAATATCGACAGGATTCACAATATAACGTTGAAGAACCACCGGAGCATTAATATTATACTACAGGGTCTATATTCGAAGTAGAAAAACGTAGTTCATACTCAATGCCGAGTCTTAATTTTAGTATTAGTTTTATGAATTATAATTACTTGTTCACGTAAATATTTTACTATAATTTCGATCATATAATCCTCATTTCGTATTAAAATGATGTTACAATCGTGATGGAAATAACTATCTTCTCGACAGACCTACCATTGAACCCCCTTCAATGAGTGAAATGCATTAACTAACATTCTCAAATTGGGCAATAAAGATCAAGGAACGACAATCACTAATTCTTATACCAATGTTTTTAAGGATGGGAAGGAGCACTTTAAGGTGTGCCCCTTCATCACTAGCATACGATATTTACTATTTGGCCACTATTTGGTGGGGATTAAAATTATATTTTTAGTAGATTTTGATAAAAATTGATTAAATGTGTAGTTGGAAATTGTGGGTTCCATGAAAATTGTGGTCGTTAAAACGTGCTGGCATGTCACTGTCTATCCAAATTAGAGCAATTGGATTAAACCATTAACATGATGAAAACAACTTACCAATAGAAGTCAAGATTTCAAACCCCCTTTAATATCTTAGTTCCCAAATTAAAGGATAAAAGTTGGACCAACATAAATATATACCGTAGAAAGTGGTCTACTCATCAACGTCAGCATTGATTAAAAGGGACATGATGGAGAAGACGTTCCGCGCCAAAACCTGATACCTTAAAAAAACATGTGGTGATTGTACATTCATACTTGTATGCCTTTTCTTCGTAGTACTTTTTCCTTCTCTGGTCAAATCGAGGAAAAAAGTATGTTGCTAATATTTTGCTCGTTTTTAAGATTTCAAACCCCCTTCAATATCTTAGTTCCCATTTGGATTTAAAAAATAAAATCTCAATACGTATCCAAATTTATTGTTAAATTCTAGAAGCATTGACTAAGCACTTATTGTTTTAAAATAGTATTTTCTTTTGTAAAGGTTGAACCCCAACCTTGAGGGTCCCCCACCTCCCCGTCCCTACAGCATCGTGGAGGAGGTAAATCGCGATATGTGCCTTAGCATGCCATAAAGAGTCAAATTTCATACATTGATTATGGGAAAGAAATCATGTAAGCAATAGGAATAGAAGTGCGGTTTCATTTTTTTCTTTTTTTGGTCCACTTTTAATTCATTTAGACGTGTGAAATGTATTTCTGCAGAACAAATATACTAACGAATCAAAAAGTAAGAAAATTGATTATTGTGCTCTACTTTAAATTTATCGAAAGAATAATGTTAGTTATCATTATGATGATGAAACATCGATAATGTGACAGGTTATGTGGAATAACGAGATTGAACATTTCAATTTTTATGAACGAGAGATGAAGAAGAGAGAGAGAGAAATATGAGGGATAATGAGTTGCCACATCATCGATATTCCATCATGATAATGATAAATAACA